CTGAAGCAAAGGGCACTACTCTGCATGAGGGCTCTCTCGAGTCTGCACCCAGCCTTAAAGACCCTACAGGTAGGAGGCTGCAAGGAATGGCGCCGGTACCTCGGAGGCACACTCCTGCCGACCTACCTGGCTAAAGCAGGGAATGTCCGCCTCACGCGGACCAAAAGAAGGAGGGGGTTCGCCAAGTGAAGGTTTGTACGTCCACGGCGTGTTCCCACTCCTGTTAAATCAAAACTTGCAAACAAGTGGGCTTGCATCACCGTGATGGGTGCACGGTGTGCGTCAGCAACACCTCACCATCGTAGTTGATGGACTCGATCAAAATCTCCGACTTGCTGATGGTGAGATCATAGAAGCCATACTGTGCCTCGCCATACCAGTCCTCCGTGTCCTCGGGGTTCGGCGTGGCCTCCGAGGTGATGCCGCCACCACCGCCCGTCACGATGCAAGTGACGCCCATGTGGTTCTTGGCATAGTCATCCGGAAGCCAGAGTTCCTGGTCATGCCGGTGTCCGGTGACCAGCAGATCCATCCCGAGCTTGCGCAGGGAGGCGTAGAAGTCCTGCTCGTGCCCGCAGGGGAAGTGGGTGACGACGACCTGCCAGTTGGCCTTGCTCTGTCCCATCAGCTCCGTGACCCACGGCTTCTGCTCCGCCCAAAGCCTAGTGCATGGTTGGGATAGTATTAAAAATATCCATGTCCATTCCTTGTTGAGTTTAAGTACCCTTAAACATGCAAAATGATCCCTTAAGTACCCTTAAATATTTAACATGTTACCCCTCTGTGACAGAGAAGCGAGGCAAACCAGCCGGGGCAGCTGTCCACGGACTCGGGGCCATCCGTGGCTGCGCAGCTCGCGGAGGGCCTGTTGTGCTTTCCTGGGTTGGCCCCTTAAAACCCTGTTGAAAACATGCTTATATATATATATGTATTTATTAATTTATATATATATATATATATATTCATATATTTATTTGTTTATTTATTTATATGTAATATTTGTTTATTTATTTGTTTATTGATTTATATTTTTATTTGCATGTATATGTATACTTATATATATATATATATTTATTTATTTATTTACATTTACATTTACATTTACATTTATATTTATATTTATATTTATATTTATATTTACATTTACAGTTACACTTATATTTCTATTTCTATTTATAATTATATTTTATATTTTATATTATATATATATATATGTCTAGCGCCCCTTTCATATGTGTATGTACACACGGTGTCCCTTATAAACCCAAATGAGGGAATGGAAAATATCCCAAAGGCAAATTTATATACAGGGTCCCTCATAAACCGAACAAGGAAAACATAAAAATCTCCCCGAGGCCAACACAGCATCGGCTGCACATGTTGTGGTTCGGGTCCTCTTCTGGCCTTGGTCATCCCAGGAACAATACTGAAAGTAAGGGAACCCCTGTTTGGGGTTGGCTACTGTTGCTACGGGAACCCTAGACCCTAGACCCTAAACCCTAAACCCCAAACCCTAAACCCCTAAACCCCAAACCCCAAACCCCAAACCCCCCAACCCTAAACCCTAAACCCTAAACCTAAAAACCCTAAACCCCAAACCGAAAAACGCTGCAAAAAAAGTGCTTCCACTGGGCTACCAAGTGGCGGCATGGCATCGATGAAGTTCGAGTCCAGGAAGAAGTAGTCCACGTCGAAGTCGAGGTCTGCATAGACAACCTGGGTTTGGGGTTTTGGGGTTTGGGGTTTAGGGTTTAGGGTTTAGGGTTTAGGGTTTAGGGTTTAGGGTTTGGGGTTTAGGGTTTAGGGTTTAGGGTTTAGGGTTTAGGGTTTAGGGTTTAGGGTTTAGGGTTTAGGGTTTAGGGTTTAGGTTAGGGTTTAGGGTTTAGGGTTTAGGGTTTAGGGTTTAGGGTTTAGGGTTTAGGGTTTAGGGTTTAGGGTTTAGGGTTTAGGGTTTAGGGTTTAGGGTTTAGGGTTTAGGGTTTAGGGCTGCATGGACACTCACTCGGGGCTTTGCCCCCAACAAGCTGTCGGAAAGAAAAAGGGTGCCTTACAAGGAAACCTGTACAGAAGATCCAGAAACCCAACCAACAAAGAAGGAAGGAAGTCGGGAATAAGTGGGTTACTAACTACTGCCAGGCCCGAAACCCTAAACCCTTAACCCTGAACCCTAAACCCTAAACCCAAGCAACGGACGTCTTGTAGTACGGCGCGGGCATGACCCAACGATCACTGGCCCAGGTGTAGGAGATCTGCTGATCCCAGCCGTTGTCGAACTTGAAGCCTCCCCAGTCCTGGGGCGGAGCTAGGGTTTAGGTTTAAGCTTTAAGGTTTAAGGTTTAGGGTTTAGGGTTTAGGGTTTAGGGTTTAGGGTTTAGGCAGCAACAAGTAATTTTCTGTGCGTTGGGGAAGGCCATAGAGGGTTATGAAGGGCTCGAGTCAGAAAACTTTTTTTAAAAGTCGCCCTAAACCCTAAACCCTAAACACTAAACCTTCAAAATCACTCCCACTCCGCCCCCAAGAGTCATGGTTGCCCAGCACGCTGAACCAGGGCTTGTTGCTGAGACCGGCTCCCTGATACACGCCTTCCTAGGTTGGCGCCAAGGTAGGGGGTAGGGTTTAGGGTTTAGGGTTTAGGGTTTAGGGTTTAGGGTTTAGGGTTTAGGGTTTAGGGTTTAGGGTTTAGGGTTTAGGGTTTAGGGGTTAGGGTTTAGGGTTTAGGGCTTAGGGTTTAGGGTTTAGGGTTTAGGGTTTAGGGTTTAGTGTTTAGGGTTTAGGGTTTAAGGTTTAAGGTTTAGGGTTTAGTAGGGTTTAGGGTCCAGGGTCTAGGGTTCAGGGTTTAAGGCTTAGGGGACCATCTTCATGCATAGCCTCTGAAAGCCAATGAAAGGAAAATGGAGAAAAAATGTTTTAACATCCAAGCCTGCCTAGCTTCGAAGATCTGGTCGAACTGGTGCTTGGTTGGGTAAGAAATCTGGTCCATCGGGCTCCCACATGTCTTCTCGATGCCACCCCAATAGAAATTGTCCCCGACGTTGAGGATGTACCTCGGCTGCTCTTGGAATCCCTTGAAGCAAAACAACGTTCTGCCCCCTATGGCTAGAACCAAGCAAACCTTTTACACAAGTTCTTTCAAAATGCGGTCTAGATACTGTGGGTCGACGAGCGCAGCTCGCGCCTTGAACGCGTTTGCCACAAGCATCTGCGGCTCGTCGTCCACGCCTGCCACGTAGCCACACTCCGCGGCGCACGGGGGCTGCCCGCGTGTGTTGAAGCACTCCACAAGCTGCTTGTGGTCGCAGAGCTGCACGGTGTGCATCTTGTTCCACCGGCTTCTGGGGAAGACGCTCGGCCCAGGCCGGCGTCCCCAGTCATAAGCCACGATGGTGTTCCGACCCTCCGGTGGGTCCAGGGAACCATCCATGCCACCCCAGTCCCCAATGGCGAAGATGTGCATCTCCCCAGTTCCGTGGATGACCGTGGTCGGCCAGTGCTGGCCTTTGTAGCCCATGGCTGTCTTCGGGGGGACGCAGCCCACGCCCCGATCGTTGCCATCGCAGCCGGGGCGGTGGCTTGCATAGAGCTGGTTGCCAGCGAAGCAGTCGCTGCAGGGTGGGTTGCTGCATCCCGTGCAGGGGGGCAGGCCGCAGAAGGAGTCCCCTGGTGGTGAGCAGTAGTAGAGGCGCTGGAAGTCTTCCAGATTCCCCTGCTCATGGCTGACGCCGGTGATCGCCTTCATGCTATGGTACCAGCCCCCTGCGGAGCTGTCCCACTTGCCCCCACCGGCTGCCCATTCCACCACTTGCTTGCAACCCGCGTTCTCTGGTAGGTCGAGTCCACCACAGCGGATGCCTTCGGAGCTGACCTCCACCGCCTGCCTTCCTTGCTGTGCTGGGTGCGAGTACAGTGATTTCGGGGCTCCCCCTTTAAGGAGAAGGCCATAACAAGGGGTGCCCTTATGCTGCCCAAGGTCTCTTGCGGCTCATCTATGGGTCTGGGCACGCTAAGACGACGACCTTTCCCAAAAACCCCAAACCTTTTCAACCCTCTGCCCTGAACATCCCGCCCTCGACTGTCCGAGGCTCCAAGAAAGTGGGAAGATCGATTCACCTGGGAAGAAGGTTGGAGTCTCGGGTTTAGTCCCCTCCATGGCTACACTTACTAGCCCTGACTCCACACTAACTACTTGGAAGGCTTTCTTGACTTTGTAAGTCTACTTCGTATCCCCTAGAAACAATTTACTAACCTCGAACCCTAAACCCTAAAATCGAAACCCTAAACCCTAAACCCCAAAACCCTAGCCCTACTTACCAAGTCAAAACGGCTTCCAAGTACTCCCATGATGATATTATTTCCATCCTAGGGGGGAGAGGTGGGCCTTCGCAGCTAAAGGCGGATTATCATTTGTGAGGTCGCTGGTCGCTCTGGAGGCCTAATTGTTTTTGTTTCTTAGGGTTTAGGGTGTAGGGTTTCAGGTTTAGAAATAAGGGTCTAGGATTTCGGTTTATGGTTTAGTTAGGGTTCCCTTTTGGGCAGTTTATACGGAAATCGACGGTGAAGGTCTCATTCAAGGGGCATCCTAACCTTTTTGAACAGCCCCAAAGAAGCACAGGACCTACCGAAATGCCCAAACCCCAAGCCCTAAACACGAAAACTCCAACAACTTTCGGTGGGTTGAGGGGTTAGGGGTTTAGGGATTAGGTTTTAAGGTTTAGGGTTTAGGGTTTAGGATTTCGGGTTTAGGGTTTAGGGTCTAGGGTTTAGCTTTAGGGTTTAGGGTTTAGGGTTTAGGGTTTAGGGTTTAGGGTTTAGGGTTTAGGGTTTAGGGTTTAGGGTTTAGGGTTTAGGGTTTAGGTTAGGGTTTAGGGTTTAGGGTTTAGGGTTTAGGGTTTAGGGTTTAGGGTTTAGGGTTTAGGGTTTAGGGTTTAGGGTTTAGGGTTTAGGGTTTCGGCCTGCGCCGCTGCAGGCAAGGTGAGCCCCAGGAACAGCCACGAAGACACCATGGCTTCTGAAAGCACCGCCAATCCTGGGCTCAAGGGGGTTTGGGGGGGTTTCAGCGGTTTAGGGTGTAGGGTTTAGGGTTTAGGATTTAGGGCTTAGGGTTCAGGATCCTAAGTGTGGGCCCATAATTCGGGTCCCTTGGTATACAACGCTTTTCTTCACTCTATATAATTCGGGCCCATACTTCGGATCCCTTTCAAGAAGGGAAAGGGACAATAGGGCCCATGGTTCCACCCAGGGGCCTGGAAGTTTGTGTCGAAAAGGGGTTACACGTTGGGGGGGGGGGGGGGGGGGGGGGGGGGGGGGGGGGGGGGGGGGGGGGGGGGGGGGGGGGGGGGGAGGGACCATAGACCGGTTCTTGTGGAAGCAGGGGAAAGGTTTAGTGTTTAGGGTTTAGGGTTTAAGGCCTGTAGGGTTGCTAAGGGCTTTCGGGTTCGGGTTTGGAAGGTCTCGGGTTTGGGGGGCTGAGTTTGGGGCTTCGGTTTTTCGGGCTTAGGGCTTAGGGCTTAGAAACTCTTGGTGCTGGCAGAGGGCTCACAGGGCCAGGTCTTCTGCCTGCTTAGCCCTTCGACGCAAGGAACGGAGCGGAAAATTTCACTGGAGACAAGAAGGCCGCAGCAAACCCTTAGCCCCAAGCCCCTAAACGCTGAACCCTACCACCAACCAAATGAACCTCCAAGTAACCCTAAACCCTAAACCCTAAACCCTGAAACCCTGAAACCCCTAAAACGCCCCCTCAGAGTTTCAGGAGTTCGAGGCTTAGGCCACGAAGGTTTAATGAGGGCAGCGGCCATCGCCAAGGGAAATAGAAGGTGGGGGCTCCATGCAGCCTAGCTACCCTAAAGCCTATACCCTACACCCTGAACCCTAAACCCTAAGATCTAAACTCGAAACCCTAAACTACTTAAGGTTCCTCTAAATTTCTAGGGAACCCTGAACCTGACGCCCTAAACGCTTTACAAGTAAGCCAGAAATCTAGGTTTAGGGTGTCTTGTTTATGTGTGGGGTTTGGGGTTTGGGGTTTAGGGTTTAGGGCTTAGGGAGTTTAGGGTTTAGGGTTTAGGGTTTAGGGTTTAGGGTTTAGGGATTAGGGTTTAAGGTTTAGGGTTTAGGGTCTAGGGTCTAGGGTTTAGGGTTTAGGGTTTAGGGTTTAGGGTTTAGGGTTTAGGGTTTAGGGTTTAGGGTTTAGGGTTTAGGGTTTAGGGTTTAGGGTTAGGGTACCCTAAAGCACATCAGACACTCTGAATCTGATAAGCAACAGACTGGAAAAACCAGCCTGTACTTGTTTTCGAGAGTTTGGCTTCTGATGCCCCCTGAACCCCTGAAGCCTAACTGTGCCCACCCACCAAACCCTAAACCCCAAAACCCAAACCCCAAACCCTAAACCCTAAACCCCAACCCCCCCCCTCCCCTTTATAGTAAGCAATTTCAACCCTAAACCCTAAACCCTAAACCCTCAAGGCCCAGGGGGCGCCTTGAAGAGATAGCCCGGCACGGGCTTGTCGTTCGCCGCAGTGGCCTCCGCCACTGCGCAACATGCTCTCTTACGTGGAGGTTAGGGTTTAGGGTTTAGGGTTTAGGGTTTAGGGTTTAGGGCTTAGGGCTTAGGGCTTAGGGCTTAGGGTTTAGGGTTTAGGGTTTAGGGTTTAGGGTTTAGGGTTTAGGTTTTAGGGTTTAGGGTTTATGGTTTAGGGTTTAAGGTCTAGGGTCTAGGGTCTAGGGTCTAGGGTTCATGGGTAGTTATAAGTAGGGTTATAAGCATGGTAGCTGAACTTATAACGCTATTTGTAGTACAAATAACCCTACTTAAAATTACCCATGCATCGCCAAGCAGGGTAGTTTCACGGTCGTAGTATGGGCCCTTAAAAGGGCACCCCTTAGATGCTCACTCACGGTTGTAAGGGTTTAGGGTTGACAGTAGGCTGAGGTTTGCTGTGACACGTGATCAGCAGCTGTGAAGGTTCGAATAGGAACTAGGCCTTGGGGCTTGGGCTCTTAGGGCTTAGGGTTTAGGGTTTCACAGAAGAACTCCCTACCATGGACACAACTCACCCCCAACTTAGTCGGCCGGCTGTGGTCCCCATAAGCCGAAGCTTAAAGCTTGGTTTCTTCATCTAAACCCCAAAGTAACCTAGGAATGATAAAGGGCTACCTATCGTCAAGTTGACCATGCCTGCATTCTCCTCTGGGAGACACACTTGCCAGCGATTGCTCACTGCATGTGGAAGCCACCCTGCTCAGCAGTGCGGCGGAGCACCCAGGGTGTGCACCACAATGAGCAGTCCAGAGGACAAGGCATGTGCACGCTCTGGCAATAGAACCTGTAAAATGCGACAACAAGAGTCGTGCAGATAGGCGCCCGAAGCTCTGACGGGCTCGATGGACCATCGAACTGCGGAAGGTCTTGAGCCAGCGGATCACAACCCTAAATGTGGCAGATGGGAAGCCCCGACACCAAAGGGTACCTTTTGGATTTAAAGGGAGATTTTGAGGGAACCTAAACCCTTAAGAAAAGGGGGAATAAGGGCCTAACTACTCTGGGTCTGTTCTTATAAAAGGGGATTCAGGAATTTTTCCCCCACTAAGATTCGAAGCTTCTCCCGGATTCTAACCGGAAGGACAGGTGTATTTGGGGTGAGGGGGGTCAGGAAACTTGAGTGGGGGAGGGCCATTTCTACAGGGTCCAGATAAAGCTCCCGAAGAAACCGCTAGTCATTAAAAGGAGGTTTGTGTAGTTACAAGTAGGGTTACAAACTTCCCGAAATAGGGCTATAAGTATAGTTACCATACTTACAACCCTACTTGAAACTACCATGAACCTTACTTGAGAAACGTCGCAAGAGTTCCGCTCTAAGGTCCCCAGAGAGGTCAATAACCTCTCAGTTCAGGAATATTGCTTATTTCAGAATGACGAACTCCCAGCAAGTCTCAGGTACAGTACCTTCATCAAGGCCCATTTGGCTTAACGAAGAAAGCATACAGGACCTGCCATTCATTGTGCGACTGTCGAGATGAAACAAGGAGTTTAGGGCTTCGGGACAATGTCTGCAAGGAAACTAGAAACTAAATCCTGCTACTTGGGGGTTCACGGGTAGATATCAGCAGGGTTAGAAGTACCCCAAGTATGGTTGTAAGTATAGTTACCATCCTGATAATCCCACTTGTAGCTACCCATGAACCTCCAAGTAAAGCCTAAACAACAGCCAAAGACAACAGCACACGGGGCCTCGAAGATATTGTCCCAGTTCATGGCCAGGACTGCTTCACCGCCCAAGAGACGCCTATGAATCCTAGATGGAATGGACATTTGCTTTCAACCCTGCCCTAAACCCTAAACCCTAAACCCTAAACCCTAAAATCCCAACCATCGCGGAAGTATACGCCAGATAGGGTGAATGAGGCGATGTGGAGCTCGGTGCAGCGTCATGATTTCTGAACCCACTTCCGGCCTCCACATAGTGTCCGAAACTCATGACTGCCCTACGCATTGCTGCTGCTAACGGCTAGCGGTAGCTCACGAAAGGGTCCTTCCAAAGCTCGCTGCCTGGATACCCTATCCTGGGAGCAGATTCTGAACTATTGGTGCTGCGCCGAACCACTGGTGCTGCCTCATCCGCGTTCTGTACACTTGAACCAACAGCTGGCCAAGAAGCGAAGGTGTTCAATGGCGCTCATGCGTGCCGGCTAAACACGAAACCCTAACCCCAGGTTCCTACGAAGTGGAACAAGCATGGATTACACGTCGCTGCCTTTGACATACTAAACCCTAAACCTTAAACCCTAAACCCTACACCCTAAACCCTAAAACCCTAAACCCTAAACCCTAAACCCTGCGCCCTACACCCTAAACCCTAAACCCTAAACCCAACTCCCAGCTTCGAGAAGGTCGTGTTCCTGACAACAGTCCTCTGAACTGAACACCTATGCAACCAAGCCCTACCCACACGGCTCGCTTGATGTAACTTAGCGATGTAGTTTGGGGATGTTCCCTTATACTACAGTCCTTAAGAGCGCAAGATGTAGCCGCAGCCCACGCTACCCTGCTCCAGAGCTAAGGGTCGAAGCAGGGTAGCGTGGAGGAATGAAAAAAAGAAAACTGCCCCGAAAGGAGAACAAAAAGACCCTAACCCCAACTTTTGCATCTCCAAAGCGACACAAAGTTCTGTTAAACATGAAAAAACCAACACAAACAAAGGCAGAGATCCCCCCCCGCCCTCCCCGCAGCCCCCTGCCAGGTGGCCCTTCCCATATTCCCGCCCCAGATGACCACCTCCCAGATGCCCCCTGTGGATCCGCCTTCTTGCCACGGCTTCACCCTCCTAAACCCTAAAACCTAAACCCTAAACCCTTGGAACTTCTTGGACAGTAGGGCTCAGGATTTAGGGTTCCTCGTGTTGTGGAGATACTGAGAGTCCCGGACTTCTCTCTGAGACTCACTTTGCTTATTGGTCGCCCTCCCCCTGCAACCCCGTTCCTACAACTAGGGCTTTAGAAGGCTTAAAAGAAGTAACTAGGGTTGTAGAGGCGTTTCTGGTCTTGTGGCAAAGGAAACAAACGCAAGAAAAACTGAAAGCATGGAGAAAAGGAGGTTTAAGTACATTGAAGACATGAAATTGGAGAAAGATCTCGAAGAACAAACTGGAGGAACCAAAAATCACTAACACAGCTAGCGCAGCTCTAACATTCATGGTTTACATTTTACCAGGTTGTGCCTTAAACCCTTTGAAAATGTTTTGCCCTTGTAAGGAAAGAAGGGAAATCCCGAAGCACAGCTTCCCTAAACCCTAAACCCTAAACCCTAAACCCCAAACCCTACACCTCAGGCTTTTTTCTTGCTGCGAGAGGCGGCCGCTGGCAAGCTCTGCCCAGCCTGTGCAGGGGAACACAGAAGGGCCCTGGACCAGTTTCGGGTTTAGGGTTTAGGGTTTAGGGTTTGGGTTTAGGGTTTAGGGTTAGGGTTTAGGGTTTAGGGTTTGAACCCTAAACCCTAACCCGGGAGCAG